ATCATTTTCTATCACATTAGCCTTACTAGGTAGATATTGAATAATCATGTCATAGTATTTAGTCAATTCATACCATCTCCTTTGTTAGGATTCAAATTCTTCTGAATTAATATACTCTTTGTATTAATAATTAGTGAAAATCTCACACTAATATAGTAGAAATATTGTCTCCAAACATTTAAAATAAAAACTACAGTAATAAGTTCCATATTATATGTTGAATAGTTCCTCTCATGTGGCTTCAACTATCTAGAAATATAGGCTATGAACTTTCTGTGCTGCATGAGAACACATCCTAGATCTCTTAGTGAAGCATCATTGAATACTTGAAAACCTTTTGTACCAGATGGAAGAGCCAAAATTGGAGCATAAGTCAAATAAGCCTTTAGTCTCTAAAAATTAGCCTCACACTTTGGTGTCTAGATAAATACTACTAACTTTTGAGTCAGTCTTATTAGAGGTACAAATTTTTAAGAAATCCCTTTCATAAAATTTCCTGTAATATTTAGCCATACCAAAGAAACTACGTACCTCAAATATCATATTAGGACTTGGTCAATCATTAACTACATGCACTTTCTAGGGGTCTATAAAAATTCCTGCACTACTCACCATGTGCCAAAAAAAAAAAAATCCTCGTTCAGAACTCATATTTGGAGAATTTTACATATAGCTTATGCTACTTAAAGTCTCTAAAATAACTCTCATATGTTTGGTATGATCATCTTCAATATTAAAAAAGATGGATTGTGTATTAGTCAACCCAAATGGCATGACTAAAAACTCATAAAATTCATACTAAAAGTTATCTTCTTCACATCAACCTCTCTCACCTTTACCAGATAATATCCCAATCACAGATCAATCTTAGAAAATACAGATGATCCAACAAGCTAATCAAATAGATCATCAATTCATGGTAAATGGTACTTATTCTTGATAGTGAATTTGTTTAACTCCCTATAAATTACATGAATCAATTGAGGATATCATCACAAACCACAGTATTTAAAGGAACGATCATCGACCCACCATCCTACACAAGTATAAATTAGTCTCCAGCCAACCTCAGTAATAAACCAATCTTTCTTATTTTTACAAAATTTAAAGTATAAAAGTAATATCGACTAGCTATTGTATTCACATACCAGTATTCATTCATAATGCTTACAATAACAATATAATTAATATCAAAATGCCAAAACTATTATTTCTATGCAAATCATACTAAATGAAATAATTTTAATTTTAACCAGTAAAAATACCAAACTAACTATTCAAAATTACCATAATTAATAATACTACAACATACAAATTATTATATAGTAAAAACTTCCTAGACTTCAAGATATGATGTAAAACTCAATTTGGAAGACACTAAATGATAAAAATCAAAATCTTAAAAATAGGAGTAGGTTAGAAGTTACCTATAATTATCTGAAGAAATTTTATTGAAGTAATGAAACAAATCAGCTGCCAAAAGCTCCCATCCTCTCTCTCCCCTTCGTTTCATCCCTTCTTCTTTTCCTTCCACGGTATGCCAACTTAGTGAGGGAGAGAGTGAAGCTAGTGGATATTTAATATATATATATATATATATATATATATAATCATTTTAGTGTGTGGTACCGTAGCACCCATATGACCCAGCATTGCATGTCAATTCAAAGTTATTATAGAATATAAAGCTTTGGTGCCAAAGCACTACTCTCTGACATTTCTCAGCACTACTACACCTAAAAGCACGGTACCTCAACCCTCTCATAAAATTTTTTTGGAAAACTTTGAAAATTCATATTATTCAAAGAGGATGTTATAATCTACCCACCTTAGAAAAATATCATCCCTAACATTTTTGCTAAGGATTCAAGCAACGAAAAATTGATACAAAAATAAATGTTTTCAAAATAAATCCATTCAAAAAAATTCAAATCAAATCAAAATCTTATCGGAGAATCCAAATTAAATTAGAAATAAATTTTTATCATACAATCATGCAGTTCATTCCATCACATATCATTTGATATGCAATAATATGCCATGCCATACTTAACACAATTTCATACCAATGAAACTTTCAGGCCTATTCTTATCTTCTTGTAGCTACAAGTTATACACTTGTAGAGTCATTGAGTAGGCCTTACTTGTCCTAGCACATTAAATTCTCTTTGACTGCCACTAATAGCTCTATCATCAACCCTTCTTATCGATCTTTCATTGTATGCCCTCGATCTTATAGTCCTCTATCCTTTAGTCTACCTAGACTATCCTGCTCCATAATTAGTTCTTCCTCTAGGTCCTCTCTATGGGTAAGATGTTACCTAGTATCCTTTCTATCCACATCAAAAACATCATCCCATTGGATTAGAAGGTAGCATTAACCTAATATCACCTTCCATAATGAATACAATCAATGTAGCTATTGGTTGGTGCTATCAATCCTCTCCTCGAATCACCAAATATGCTTCTCTTATCATTGACACTTTCCCTATCTTTGCTCGAGTCATCTCTAGCCCTTCTCTCACTCACATAGTCATCCCTGGATGTCGAAACCACTAAATAAATCTTTATCAGCCTAACCCTTTCCACTAACTCAGAAAATGCATAAATTTGCAAAGGTATAAATGGATGCATTAACTCCATATTCAATTATTGCAAAAATCTATAACATTTTTCTTTACTAGTGGGGATCTAATAATGAGCATACCTAGCCAATGCAATAAACTCAACTTCATATTGTATCATTATCTTGTATCCTTATTCTAATAAACAAAACAAATATATTGAATAAAAAATCAATATACAGCTATATTCATTACCAAAAAATTATATACACTAGCCAAGAGTCATACAGATACAACACATTATCTACCCACTCCTGGACTCAAACGAATAATTAAAAGATAAAATATTAATAATATCAAAAGAATCCTATATCTGATCGGCCTCACACTCTCAAACCTCTTCAATGACCTAAAATTATTAAACTATATATATTGAGCTTATAAACCCTAGTAGATCACTAAAACTCTATTACTAAACTCAAAGTACAAAAAAATAGTATGCATGAATTCATTTGGTGTATAATAATAGCAGTCAATATGATCAAGAATATGTGCAAGAACAGTAGAACACACCATAAAGATCGATCTCATATGAGCATATCCTAGGAGCATCTAGAAGATTCTCTGAAAGTGTCGCAATGCTGGGGACATTAGGTGACACGGTGCTAGGTCAAAATGATAGGAATTTAATATTAAAATATCCAAACCATTGCCATTTTTCATTTGCACCACCACTCTTGCCAGAGAAGAGAGGAGGAAGAGGAGAGGAAAAAGAAAGAGAAAGAGAAGGAGAGAGATTGATATGCCATAGTCTGGGATTCTTTCATTGGGTCTATTCAATAAATTACAGAGCTCCTGATAGACTCCTAAACCCATGTCTCTAATTTTAATTTTTGTAAGTTTATAAAACTATATGAGAAAACTATATTTTCTTATATTTTTAGAAGTTTTCACTATGTGATTTTAATATGTTATCACACTCTGTTTTATGGGCATTTGGATTATATAAAATTGAGTTTTAAACGGTTGGTTTTTATGATATACAAATTTCTGAGTATAATATTAAATTAAATTATTTTGGCAATTGTAGTAGCCATTTAAAAGTCTTGAAATGCTCATATGAAGGTTCCTCTGAAGTAAAATTTTGAAAAGAAAAATCCAATAAGCATTATGTTCTACAAAAAAAAGTGGCTTTTATTGGTAGTTTATATATGTTCTGCATACTACATTGAAGACTTAAATAAAACACTGTTACAGTGCATTTGCATTTTGCATTCATAACATTGCAGAAATTCTATTCTGATGTATGGAAAGTGCACTCTTTGTTATGTTACAAAGGGTCCTATATCTACTCTTCTAGCCCCATCCACCTGATGTAGATGTGGGAGGTATTTTGGTCCCACTTGCTAAAAGTAGGTGTTAGAGATTAAGTAATATTATAAATATTCTTCTGATATCATTTGCCTGATCCAGATATGAGAGGGATTTTAGCCCCACCAATTGTGCACAGTTGTGGGAGGTAAAGGGAGTTATAAGGGGAAGCGAACATATAAGCAGACATCGGGATATGTGCATTCTAATCATGACATTTTCTATGTTAATTTTTCTACAATAAGGTTAAAAAATATTTAAAGTCATGTTTTAGTGAACTCTGAACTTCTGTATGAACTCTACGAAATGCAAGTGGACCTCTAAAAAACAAGTATTTTATACATCATCCAAAAACTTCTATAAAGTGGTGATTTGAATATGAAAGTAAGCGCCAGCTCCGAAATCAAGTATACATGTTGGAGATATGGTAAATCATTGTTTTGCTTATGTTTTATGTATTTTGAAAGCCTTTTAAGTTTTCTTTGATTAATTGCTTTTAATGTAGTCACTTTGAACATATATATATATATATATATATATATATATATGGTAGAAATTATATTATTATAAATTAAAATCATTTAAATTAATTTTAAATTGAACTGAAGAAAAGGGCGGTGCAATGAGACCACGATGTCATCGAAATTATCCAATCCCACCCAATATCTTCAACGAAAGAGACGTAAATCAACATCATTTGAGAGGGTATTTATGTAAAAGATGTTAAAGAAAAACTATAAATCCCGCGAGAAGGACGGACGCAAATAGAGATTCCAAACTGGTTAAAGTCCGCACCACGTCAGCCACATGACAAGGAAACAGCTGGACCGGGAACACCAAAGCCGTCACCGCGTCGACCGCTGAGCCGGCGACACGTGTTGCCAGGAAATGAATCTACGCCACCGGCTTCAGAAACCCAGTTATTTGACTCATTAAAACGACCCTCTCTGTCCGCGAAGGTTAGAAGCACGTCAGCATTGGCTCCCAATTGCCATATGGAGTCGTCAGACGGGTCTCCGCACATTTAAAAGTCAGCCAGCGAATGCGGGTATGTTTAAATGGACACGTGTACGTTGACATGGCAGTTGGCTTGGAGCCCGCAGCTCCTCTCTTCCTCGCCTCTTCCACCCTCACCATCCCGTTCTTCTCTCCCCGCTCTCTCTCTCTCTCTCTCTCTCTCTCTCTCTCGCCCTTTGGCAAGAAATCATGGTGGGATAATAACAAGAGCTAGCTAGGGTTTGGTTAAGGAACGAAGCTTCGATTTTTGTTCGCCGGTCTTCTTAAATGTTTTTCAGTTGAAGTTGTTTGTTTACTGGCTAATTCCCTGAGAAGCGCCCTGAGGCGATTGCAAGCTATGGTGTTTTTTTCTGGAAATTTGGTACTGGAAATTTAAGGTAATTTAAATATCTCTCTTGGTTCCTAAATTTCTTATAGGAAATGCTAGATTTGGTGGCTATTGCTTCTTCAAGATCTATATTTAGCTGTCTTATCTTACTTTTATTAGGGTAATTACATGACATATCGGAATTTAGATGCATTCTTGGAAGATTGAGAAGAGAGGGAAAACACGAACAAGTAATTTTTAGAATATCTGGATCGTGGTCGTTTCCGGCGGGTGAAGGCGCCTGGCGAGTGTTAAAGGAATGGATTAATGGAATTAGAATTGCCATTAATTTTGGGGGTATAGATGTCCCTTTCAGTTGAGAAGCCTACAGGGGATCTCGAGGATCTGGCTCCCCTTGGTTTTTAACCTGGAAAGTATTGGTCTTTTCGTATGGGATAAAGACGTGTTTGCCCGTGCTTTGTTTTAAAACTCACGTTGGAGCTCTTTTGCATTATTGTCCGAATGAAATTTGAGTCGAGAACCAGAACAAAATATATAGATAATTATATTTTTATGGTTATAAGAAGAAACGTACCGATTTGCTTTGTTTAAATTATTCCTTAATGTGTAATCATGTGCCAGGATTACTTGCGGTTTGTATGTTTGAATCTCAGATTATGGAAATCCTTTGTAACCCAAGACTGTTTGTTTGGAAGGAAAGGAAATGAAATGAAATGAAAGGAAAGTCAGTTTGTTGTTTGATGACTCATCTCCAATCATTTATTAGAGCTTTTCAATCCCTATTTTGTTCCTTTTACTTGAATTCTTGCACCCTAGAGAGCTTGGCTAGGCACTTGCAGTGAGCCTATTTCAGCCAGAAGCATGAGATGTTAGGCAAACGAGTCTAATTATTTGCTAATCTCTCTGACGGCGAGTCCTGTGATGTCCTATTTTGCAGATTTATAGGTGTCTCAAGAAGATTTGGTCATGTTTGTCAAATGAACGTTGGATTTAAAAAAAAAAAAATTCCTATCGGAAGTAATTTACATCCTAAACTGATTGTCTTGGAAGATATATTTGCTGCTCTGCTCTGCTCTCTCTTTCTCTATCTCTCTCTCATTTGTAGCTTACAGACTATGTTTTTTTTTTCTTTTCCACAGCTTATTGGGAGAAATACAGCTGCATCATATAATAATAAGAACTGTAGTAATAAACCAAAGACCGCAGCTCCTCTTCTACTAACTTCTATGGGTGCTAACGAGGCTATTGCACCTTCCAAATCTGAGAGGTCGCCTTCAGTACCGGTGAGCATTCCAGAGTGCCATAGCTAAAGCCACTTATTTTGTGTCGTCTGTTTGGGAAAGATGCCTATTTTCTTTCAGTAGCAACAGCATAACGCATGTCACGCATGTCTCCATTGTATAAATTATTTGCTTATTGATACGCATTTATGCTCAATATTTGTTTGGTGATGTGCAAAATTATTTTCTATTAACTCCTCCACATATTTGTGTTTGTATATCCTATTAGGAGTTTTTTAAAAGCAGACATTATCTTTCTAAAACTTTTTTTGGGAAAACTTTATTACTATTTTTTAAAATAGCTTTTTAGTATAAAAATTAAATTTTTTGTAATAAAAAACTATTTTAAGAATCAGTAAGAAAGCCGTCCCAAATGAAGCCTAAAACAAGGAGGCTCTCAAATCTCAATACATGGAGCTCCCACAAATGTAGCATTCAATGAGTGTTCTCGTGTGCATCCATATATTCATATTTGAGAAGGTGATGCCTTCATGACTTAAACTTGGGACGTGCAGAATAGATTGAAGGCTGTTTAACCATTGCTATGGGTTCATTATGACAAATGAGTCGGATGATTATACGAAAAGAGGTTAAATTCTAACTATTTCCATAGAACATTCTATGGAGCATTATTGACGACTGTAATAGCTAAAATCTGAACCCCATTTAAGAAAGAAATTAGGATAATTAGGTAAGAGAGTAGGCTTAAAGGTATGCCAAGCCACTTGAAGTACTGAGTTGATATATTAAATTGTTCATTACTTCAAAGAGGATATCTACTGAGCAGAACAACTATTATGACAATTTGTAATGTGTATTGCTTGAAGCAGTCTTTTATTTTTAGGCTTACCACATTTATTGTTAAAACTAATATTCCCAACTTTTTTTTACTTTATTCTAACAATTATCATCATTTGCCTTATCCCAACTATTTAAGGTCAACTCTACGAATCCTCAATTTTCTTTAATTTCTGATAAGTGTTATATGAGGTGTTTAATTCATTTTGAATAACTTCTCTTGTTTATAATATCAGTTGTATCTGATTTTTTTTCTAATTCTTTGACATCAATTTTATAAACTCATCTAGCTGGTAAATTTTCTATCATTCATTGCACATATCCAAACAATATATAGCCTTCTATCACATGCAAGGTTTAGGGGGGCTTGGAGGGAAGCCTTACCCTCACATTGTAGAGGGTTTGTTTCTATAACTAAAACTTATTATATTCAGTTTATAATGGAGAAAACCAAACATTGCCGTGGCCACTCCTGTTTTTTTTTTTACTTGCTTATTTTTGTGCCATAAAACAAAATCTTTTTTTGTTGGAGCTTCTTTTTTTTTTCTTGCATCGGCGATGTTGCCCTTCAAACAAATGAGGAATTCATCCAAAGAGCTCTCATCATCGATCATATTGCCCCTCAAACAAAAGAATTTTTTAGCTCATCAAAGATAAATTGCCAAGAGCCTAAGTGCCGTGAGAGTCATGTGCTTCTAAGTTTTAATGTGAAACTAAACCGCATGAACTACTTGATTCTAGCCGAATCATTAGCTCTGATAGCACTTGCTAGTGAGTATTAATCAATGGAAGCCTAAAGTTAGATCAAATATACTAGTGTTCAAATTTATTTTCAACTTAAAACCTTAAACCTTTGAATCGGTTTAGAATCTGATTTGCATGTTAGGAGATGCACGAAATGACAAAACATAAAGATGCAGCTTTAAAATCTTGTTTGGCAAGCGTAAATCCATTGGTGATGGTTCACTATATTCTTAGAAGAATCATCTGAGACTATGATGAATATATGCTTTTGATTATTGAGTTTTGATCTTTTTTGTGGCTCCATTGCAGGAACAACCTTCAGTCCGTTCATTTCCTGATTGGGGATCCATGCAGGTTAGAGTGTAATCTGCGCTGGTCCTGTGCTTAGAATAACATCCATTAGTGTATTTTCTGCATTGAATGATTTTGTAACCTATGGCTTTGTTCTTGACATATTACTATTGGTTCCCGCTTTTGTCAGGCATACTATGGTCCTGGAATTCCAATCCCAGCTCCTTTTTTCGGTTCGCCGGTAGCTCCTGGTCATGCTCCATACCCCTACATGTGGAGTCCTCAGGTATTTCATTTTCTCAATTTTATGGTACTAACTTAGCTACTTGAGTATGATTTATTATTCTGCTCTGCCATTTTAAAACAAGAAAGTAAGGTGATTTTTTGGGTTGTAAATCTTTTTTCTCATTACTTATAAGTCTTTTTATGGAGAGCATTTTGGTCTAAATTGGAGGGGGTTGGCTGAGGATACATTTACTTGTAAAACCAAGAGAAGATATACTAATAAATCTAGGTTTTATTGAGTTCTTCGAACTTGGTGTTGATTATCTTAGCATTTCTAAGGATGCTGTATTGTATTTAAAATATGCACGTAATCTTAAATTTTGAGAACTTGGATAGAATAAATTAATTTACTGCATAAACTATTTTTTATCGCTGACATTTTAGCTTCTTCAGCCCATGTTGACACCTTTTGGTGGACCATACACAGCAATCTACCCTCATGGAGGAGTTTACTCTCATCCCTCAGCTACCCATGTAAGTTTAAAGTTCTTTTGCACTTGTTGTGCTTCCCTTTTTGACAGATAAATGAGTATGTTGATATTACAGCTTTTGAGTGTCTACTTTATAAATTTAGCGTTAAGTTTTTTTTTTCACCTTCTCTTAGAATCAGGGACTAAATAGAATGAATGAAATTTGCTACGTGTTAGTTTAATTGGTACAATGACGCTTGATTTTTTTAATATACTGATACATTCTTCTACATGTAATTTTATACAATATTTTCATGGGACCATTTTTCTTGATTTCATCGCTAACATGCTCGCACATATTCCTGATCATTACTATTTTCCTAATCTTTTTGTTGCTCTGCAGATATCATCTCCTGCGAACCAGGAAGTGTCTGTCAATCCCTCAACTAATAAAGAGAGAAGCACAGCTAAAAAGATTAAAGGGATTGATGTGCCTGTAGCGTCCAATGGAAATTATGATGCCAGTGCAGGCTGTAATGAAAACAGATCAGAGAGGTTTTTACTAGTTGAATCAGACCTAATTAATTCCTTTTGGACGTAACCAGACTTGATTAACTCACCTCTTTTTACAAATTTTACTTTTACAGCGACGAAAATGAAGATGAAGGTTCAAGTGAAGGAAGTGCTGGGAATAGTGAATCAGGAGTAATGCTCTTAACATATAATTAACCTGGATTATTGCAAATTTCACGCTTCATTCCTAAATAATTGTTATGTTGGGCATCCAGGGAAGTGAGAAGCAAAGAAATAGAAGCTCTGAAGATAAATCAAATTCAGGTGCGTATAAGTCGCATTCTGTTCATCTTGGGTTGCAACGACTAACTCCATCTCATTGTGCTTGATTTGAATATAACGAAAGGAAAATAAGATGACAGAACTATTGAGTTGTAAAGAAAGTTGTATAATTCAACGGATCAGAATAGGTTCAATGAGATGGGGCTCATTGCTCAGCTTGGTTTGAGTCGATCTCAAGTTTCAAACTCTACATTTTATTAGCTGCTCAGTTGGGTTTGAGTAGATTTCAAGTGTGAAGCTTTACATTTTTCTGCCATTTTATACCTTTAAGAACTATCTATAACTTCTGCCTACTATCCTTTTGTGAATCAACGAAGAAAAAAGGAAAAAAGTTTCTCATTTTTCTTTTCAATGAAAACTCTTTTTGTTTTACGCTATTGAACTTCAATTCTTATATTAGTTCATTCTTTGCTCATCTTTTTAGTCACCTGTCGCTTGATGGAATACATAGCCTGAGCTCCATCCTACTGCTGTAATGTTATTTTCGTTAAATTACCTTAAAACTAACCTAAGTGTGAGGTCAGGAGGAATCTCATTCCAAAATGGCTTAGATGTTTAAAGTTAGGTGACATGAAGTCTATTGCATTTGAACGTTTGATCTATAGAAGGATAGGCAATCTTTTAGGGGATGTATGGCTACAAGCAGGATTATACTTGAGCAGGTTTTAGTAAATCCTGCATTCCAGATTTACTAAAGCAGTTATTAGTAAATCTTGCATTCCAGATTTGGTAAATCTTGAGATGATTAAAACTTGAAAACTGTCTGTCATACAATTAATAAATCTTGTTAAATACTGATAAACTGTTTTTGAATATTTGTTTCAGATTTAAGATTTGTAGGAGAAAAAACCTTAAATCCGTAAAATTTTGTGATGATAGGATTTGATAAATGGTAAATTTAATCCCGCTAAATTTTGTGATGATAGGAATTGATGAAGCTTAGATTTAATCAATAATGGAGCTGAAACAAGATTAATCAGAACAGTACAATTTAAAGACCCCAAAATTCTGTTGTATATCTTGTCTAAAATAGGATACTAACAGCCCTAGCAAAGTTCACAGGTTGATTATTCTTTGTTTTATCATTCCAGGTGGCAAGAATCTTGATATACAAGCTAATACTGTTACTGGGGCAACAACAGATGTACTTCCAACTATTTCATTAGGGATGACCACAAGCCCTGGGGCTGTTGCTCCTATTCCTTTGGCCAATCTGACTCCAGGAATGGATTTTAGGTCTTCTACTGTCAGTAAACAGAAGCCTGGAAGTGAACTAATTTTATCAACTAACGCTATGGTATGTACTCGGTGTTCTGTGAATAAATGATCTTCATTTACAAGCACTTTTCCTGCTGATTGTACGAATACAATATTGACAGAAACAAACTTTTCTGCAATTTTGCCGCCCTACTCATTATTTGTTTCTCATCCTTTATTTTACATGCATAAGCATACCATTTTATTTTTATTTTTTTGCTTTTTCTTGTTCCATTTGATCATCCAGAGGCCTATTCCTTTGAATGTAAGGATTACTTGCTCACTAGTCTATGCAGACAGTTATTGAAGTAGTAATTTGTTTCATTGATGTTAGAAAAGGAGCTTAATGCTAACTTTTAAATGTATATATCCGTGAGTATTATCATTAAATCTGTGTCAGGATGAGAGGGCATTGAAGCGGGAGAAGAGGAAGCAATCCAACAGAGAATCTGCAAGAAGATCTAGATTAAGGAAGCAGGTAGGTTGGAGAAAAATATAGAGCATTTTTTTTATTGGTGCTTTCGATATTTGATATATTTCTTGTCATAACTTTTCCTTGTTTTTCACCCCCTTTCAGGCTGAAACAGAAGAACTAGCCACCAGAGTTGGAAGTCTTAGTGCGGAGAATACTAACCTCATATCTGAAATTACTCGGCTGACTGAAAGCTCTGAAAAACTTAGAATAGAAAACTCTGTTCTAATGGTAATGAATCGATTCTCAAATCTTTAACTCTTTAGCTTTTGTACTTTAATCATAGCTTTAGAACTGTAAGCCGTTATGATCATAGTTGTAAGTTGGGAGACATTGCGTCAGTGAATTCTTAAGTAAATTAGTTTTGGAAAGTAATGAGGTTTTGTAAGAAGCCATCACTAGGAGCTATTGGTTGTGAGATTTAGTCATGATCTAGGCTAAACCTTTCTAAACAGTCTTTATAGCCACATAAACTCTAATACCTTCTTAGGTTTCGTTTGAGACAGCTTTATTCTTGCTTTCTAAAACAGCTTTCTAGTATAAAAATTTCTTGAATTTGAAATTTTTATACTAGAAAGTCATTTTAAAAAGCAGTACAAAAGCTATCCCAAACGAAGCCTTAATATGTTTTTTTCTTTTGTTTTAGGCTAAATCCTTGTAAAGTCTTGGGGGAAGTAAACATTTAAGAGATTTATACCGCTTCTCTTCATTGTGTCTACTCTCCTTAATCTAAATTATAAACTTTGAGTGGTTGTCAATTAGTTTATTAGGACTAAACTAGATTTAGGGGGTGTTTGGCTACAAGTTGGATTTAGAGGAAGTAGGATTTTGTAAATCATAAATCCTACTTCTTAAATCTTATTTTCCTTTAATTTTAGGCTCAATCATAGACCTAGTAAATCCTAGGAGTAGCAGGATTTAAGAGATTTACTCCATTTCTTATTATGCCTCTTCTTTAATGCTCTCTACTCTTTAAGTTGATGGCTTTCATTTTGCTTTGGGTTGCAGGAGAAACTGAAGATGGCTGAACTAAGACAGGAAGAAGAGCTTTCCTCTGATAGAATATACGATGAAGAAGCTCCATCTATGGTGATAGAGAATCTTTTGTCCAGGATGGACAGCTCCAGCAACATTGAGGAGGAAACTCTTGAGAATTCCAATGGAAAACTGCATCAGCTACTTGATTCAAAACCTAGAACCGATGCTGTCGCTGCAAGCTGACCACAGTTATTTAATCAACAACTGGATCTGGGTATGATGATGAACAACTCATCCTAAAATTAGTTCTAACTTTTAACCAATTTGTAGGTCATTGATCAAAGCAGACAAAGGGACTGATCAAGTTGGTTTAATTTCTTCTCTTTTATAAAATAAAAAGAGAAAAAATAAAAGCTGAAGTTGTAAGATCCATCATGGTGTTTATCTTTTTGAAACCCATGTTGTTCGTGACCCATAACAACAGGTCCTGCTGATGTATACTGAACTTGTAAGAAAGCTTGTAATGAACTAGAACTGAACTCAATCGTCATGAACATGGTAAAGAGTGATATATGTACATCATTTTTAGGTCGGTAAATTTTAAAAAACATTTTATATATGAATTTTATTTGAGAAGTGGGAAATGGCATTGGCAAAGTATTTTGATGTTCAGTTTGTGAAATATCAAAATTTGGACTGTTTTTTAATGTTTTTTATTTTTCTAACAGTTATTACATTGTCTGTTTGTTTATAATTTTTATTATTATTATTTAAAATTTCGATGATAGAGTTCTTTATATTTCATATATGAATTCTGCATCTACTTTTATATAGAGTTACAGTCATCCCGAATATATCCATAATTAATTGTATCATGGATTTTAGGAGAAATGCATGAAATTGCATGCATGCTTTCAATGCAGACCACTTGAATGCCAAATTCAACAGCCACACCAATAAGTTTTTTAGTTGATCAAACATCTCACCTAACACTGCATATATATAGCCGTTGGATGAACACTGAATGTCTTCTTTCCCTCATGTGCTTGTTAAGATTTTCCTTCAAAGCCTGATTTATTTTCCTTTTCCTTTTTTATCATGTATTTTTTTCATTCCTACAACAACAACAATAACATCAAATTTTTTTTCCCACTATGTGGGTTCGGTTACATTAATCCTTTTTCGCCATTGTGTCCTATTTAAAGTCAAATTCTCATTTAAATCTAATAAAGAAAAATCATTTCTAATATTTCAAATCAAGTCTTTTTAGGTCTATCTCCATCTTTCTTAACATAAGTCAAATCTAATACCTAAACTTTCCTAACCGGGTCATCGGAAGGCCTCCGTTTAATGTAACCAAACCATCTAAGGAAACTCCACTGGAGCTACTCCAATCTTTTCACGTATATGCTCATTTCGTATCCTATCTCTAAGGGTAAAGCCACTCATCCACCTAAGCATACATATCTCTGCAAAACTTAACTTAGTATTATGCTTCTCTTTTAATGGTCAATATTCGGCACCATAAAGCATTTGCAGGTCTCACCACCATCTTATAGAATTTTCATTTAAGTTTGAAGGGGACTTTTCTATCGCACAATAAGCCTGATGCATTCCTCTACTACAACCATCCAACATGAATTCTACTGATAATATCCCCATCTATTTCACCATCACTATGAACAATAGATCCAAGATATCTAAAGCGTGTATTCTTATTAATGACTTGATCGCCCAAAGTCACAATCCGCTCATTAGGTCTATTGCTACTAAAATCACACTCCATATATTCAATTTTAAATCTACTCAGGCGAAAATCTTTACTCTAAGATTGACCTCCATAATTCAAGTTTACCTTCAACTCTCTCTCTCTCTCTAGTCTTATCAACAAGAAGAATATCATCAACAAAAAAACATACACCAAAGTACATACAACAAAATACATCCTCTTGCAAATGTCTAGTGACAACATCCATGACTAAAGCAAAAGATATGCACGGCCTTGATGTAATCCAATCGAAATAGGAAATACTTGGTCAAACCACCTTGTATTTGAACACAAGTAAGCATACATATCTTTAATTATTTAAATATGAGCATTGTTAACTCCTTTATTTTCATTTGTGATTTTTTTAAATTTCCTGCAAAGTTGTTTTTTATAAGCTTTTGCTTGAAGAATTAGTCAAGTTATTAAAAGATGTTATCATGTTGTTATTTACAGTCACATTTCACATGGGGTCATTTAGGTTTCATTTGAAACAACTTATTATTTTTCAAAAAAAAAAAATTAATTCAAAAAAATTGCTTTAGCAAACACCTAAAAAAAAGCTATCCCAAAGGAAGCCTTAAAGTATGCTGGGACTAGGAACCATCAACATTAAAAAAATTCCAGCATTTTTTTATGTGCTCCAATAGATAAATTCCATAATTTATTTTATTAGGAGATATCCTACATGCTTCCAAAGCAGACTTGCGTGTTTTAAGACTAAAGAAAAATTGTCTTTAAAATCTTTGGGCTTCCATAGGCATTTTGAATTATGAATATTAAAAGATATGAGCTTATTATTTTAGTTGCGTTGAACAAAATTTCTAACCAAACGTCATATTTTCCCACCATTGGTAAAACCAGGTAGGAATTTCCTTTATGATGGTATCTTTCATTATCAAGAACATTCATAAATGTTGGCATTTTAAATTTTTAATATAAAAGGATTTCCTCAGATCCTATATGTAACACTAATAATTAAAAATTATATCTTAATTATATTTTATTATTATTATCGTTATTGAAATAAGTTTAACACCTAATCCTTGTGATATAAAAGATAATAATGGTACATTTATTATAGGCTACAACTTTATTTGTCTCATATTATTATGCATAATTTATACATGACAATTTGTTTAACATCTAAAATTTCATTAAAAAAATTTATATGCAAATTCAACACATCTATCAATAAAAATGATTGTCATAGTATTGTCCAAAACATCAAGCAGTTATTTGAAATAACTTCATTTTGGAGAGATAACATGTTCATTTGTAAGATTTAACACTTTAAATACTTCATGATGTTCTAACTATTCATCCAAAGATTTGGAAAAAGCTATAAGACATTAAATGCCATTCATAATTATGGACAAACCTTCTATTTAAACCTTTTCAACAATATTGATGATATAAAATGCCATTACAACTTCATGAAAAGTAGGACTTATGAATAAACCTTTCATTTATCAACATTTATATGATTCTAAATATTCTTCGGCTAGTGTTTGAGATTTTTTTTTTATTATTGAGAAAAAAATAATCATAATTTTAATTGGAAGTTAACACTTACGTTTTGTTTGGGACATTTTTTTTACTACTTTATGAAACAGTTTTTAGTATAAAAATTTTTTAAATTAGAATTTTTGTACTAAAAATTACTTTGAAAAGCAGTAAGAATGCTGTCTCAAACGAAGGCTTAGGCTTCGTTTGGGGCAACTTTTTTGTTGCTTTTTAAAACACTTTTTTAGTACAAAAACTCTAATTTTTATATTAGAAAATTGTTTTAAAAAGTAACAAAAAAAGCCATCCCAAACGAAACCCAAGTGTGTTAGAGTGAGCTCCAGCATGAGGCATGCGACAGAGGAAACCTCCCAACCATTGAGCCACCACCTCTGAACTTCACTTCATGCTTTTACATTATTAAACCTGAATGATTTGTGAATATTAAACTGCTCTGTCATCGCATTCTTTCACCCATAACACGATAGTTATAATATTTTATAATACCTCGAAAAATTCACATTCCACAAGAGTGGCAATTGAGCATAACAAAATTGTAAAATGACAACAAAAAATCTAAGAAAATGATGATATACCTTCCATCTTTGCCTTTATTCTAACTTCCCCTCATACATTCAAGTTTCTTTGTGTTCTCCAAAAGAACCTGGACATAAAAGATATCAAGGCAGAATACTTGTCAATAAACCTGCAGCACCGAATAAGGTAATTCATTTCTCAAAAAAAAAAAGGTAATTCATTTCTGAGAGAACCTAAAGCAGAAAAAGGTTAAAAAATTGGGATAAAATATCATGAGTAAATATTAGTTAGAATGAATCTTATGGTTATTAGATTTACTTCAAGATAAACATAATACATATAAAATCAATTAAATTATATATTACACTCATCTCAAAGCAAATCCAACGATTTTAAGACCAATCCTATTTAAGAATTTAATAATAAAATCTTGAGCCAATTTTCTTCAACAAAAAACTCCATATTGTTAATGATCATGTGATCCACAGCTGCAAAAATGATGGGAATCCACCAAAAAAGGAGAAAAGATTTGTCAATATATCCAGATATGTTTTTTTATCAAGATAGGCCTATTTTTATCAAATGCGACATTAATTTCATGCATAACATGTTATTCCTCAATATAACTAAACTATTAGATGAAACAATTAAACTATTAGAAAAATAAAACTAATTATTAAACATTCCCAATTATAATCGTATTATTTTGTCTATCATGATTGTATAAGTTTAGTAGGAATTGTTTAATAACTTATTCATATTCATGAAAAAGCACATGGCATGTGAAATTAAGCAGAAGTGAAATAATAATACTCCCATCCTGATATAAAATATATTAAGATACTTAATAAAATTTTATTCCCATACATATCTCAGACTCTCAGTAAATGAAAAGGTAGAGCAGTAGAATGACAAAGGAAGGATTGCAAAAAACTTGAAAGATTCTTACTTCCCGAATATAATTTGCTATTGCTTTGCATCCTTCTATGGCAAGTTGCAACACATCTGTAAACATATCTACTGGTAATTTCGCATCCATCTGTAAATCAATTAGTAAGAGTGAGCTCCACATCAGATAAACAACATTGAAGCTTATGGACAGTAAAATAATCTTTTTATTTAAAAAAAAACTAAAAAATCAATGGTTAATAACTAATTAGGAACTACAACAATGGCATTTTCTACTCATGGCTTACACCAACTGATGAGTTTTTTTTTTTATCTTCTTGTTTACAAGCTATAGTCATCAATCATCATCACCATTAGCCTTCTCCCAAACATTGTGGATAGGATTTATAAATATTTATTTTTCATTCATTCCTACAAAGTATAAGTTAAATCTATTCCTTGCAAATCATTTTGAACAACTAACTTCCATGCTACCCTTCTTCTTGATCCTCAATATTGATTTTATCTACATATCAAATAGATGCATATTTTGTCTTTCATTCTATATATCCAAATCACCTAAAGTTATTTTCAATTACTTATTTTTAATAGTTGGCACTATAATCAACTCTCTAATATATTCATTTTTTTATTTTATGTTCCTAATTTTGTCGCACATCCATCTCAATACTCATATTTTTGTCATGTAAGACTTCACAATCAACTACTTTCTTACTATCCAACACTAGGATGCATACAATAAAGCCAGCCTAATTTCAATTTTCTAGAATTTGCTGTTTATGTTTTCATAATATACTTGCTCTTATCACATAAAATCTTGAAGCATCTCTTCATTTTAACCACTCAATCATCAGTTTAGAAGTTATGTTAACCCATTATTTATAGTAGATTCAAAATATTTAAAACTATCACACTTAAATATTACTTAACTTCTAATAATATTGATAAATAGCTATTAATATCATATCCATAAAAATTAAATATCAAATACCGAATTTCAAAATACACAATCCAATCACATATGACAAATAGCACTTTGCCCTCTGTGATAATCTCACTTATGATGCTTCGTTGTTTTTCATATAGACTACAATTGCTTGGAAATTCCGTCATAAGCATTACAAAGGGCCTATATAATGCACGTGGCCCTCACCAATGCAGGCCCGAAAGAGAAGTTGATGCACACAACCTTACTTCTACAGTTAACGTGGTGTTTTAATTCTTTCCTAGAAACTCCATATCACAATGGAAGCAGTCTTACTTAACTTACCATTCCTTCTCTATAATATTTATAATTTTCAGCATAAATTACAATTATTTGCAAGTACAGAAGTTCAGCAAAACCTTGGTCCAAAAGATCAATTAAAATTTGAGCAAAACACGCATGCAACTAAAGAAAAAAAAAAAGTCAATCATCAATCAGCAATAAGATATCACCTGAAGCAGAGTCACTTTATCCATCTTTACTAATGTGCCCACGGTGACATCTGGACCTCCAGCGCTATCTTCAACATAGTTTAAATCTGAAGATTGAAATTCAGGTTTGAACCATAAGATTTTATAAATTCCTTTTCATAATGATTTAAAAAAATAACTGAATAAAACAAGTCAGACCCAGTAAAGGAGTGCTACACAGATATCCAGCACTACAAGACGTGACAAGATCACGCATTGGAATCCCAGCATCAGCTAATGCTAAAGTTGCAGCGTTGATACATGACGACCTCGTTCCTAAAGCAAAACCAACTTAGTGTCAAAGGATGGATTTATTATTCTATGCGGAGTCCGAACGGCGTCCAGAGACTAATAAAAATGCGCCACATCATCCCATTGCTCAGTACCTAGCAGGGTACCCGCGTTCGGTACCCAGCACTTAACCGGACGTCCGGTGTCTGCACAGATTAATAGCTCCAAAGGTATTTTACAAAAAAAAATTCAAAGCATGGGATTGAACAGAAACTTACAAAAGTAAAATAGAAAGTTATTCTTCAATTAGATATGAATCATAAGAAATTAAAACATCATCAACATTATCATTAACTTTAATCAAATTCTCAGTTGTTTGGAGTTGCTTTATGAATCTTCCTCAATTCATAAAAATCCTTGAGGCACAAACCAAATTAAATCTTCAATATGTTATTTTTTTTCAACTTTTGTTTCATTATTCTCCATTAAAATTGAGAATATTTCATTTATTCATAGAGAAAAATATCAAACAACTTCTCCTATCATATGCATGCACTTAACTCCAGGGCTTTACTGAAAAACATACTTTAAAAATATCACTATCATATCCATCATAATTCCCCAAATCTCAATTGATACCTTATCTATCCTTAAAATTTTATATTTTCAAATTCCTAAAAGCTAACTTAGCTTTACCCTTCTTAAGTAATTACTTGCTTTATGGTTATGTTTATAATTAATATCATATTTCGTTCTCTTAATTTATCAGAAATGAAATAGCACTCAAAATTTCCATTCAATTACTCCCTGATGGAACATATCCTCTTGTTAGCAAAATTTCCACTAAGCCCTATCCCATGTCATTTAAGAGAAAAAATCCAATACAAAGTGAAGTCCGAAATACCCTTCTTGACTAAGTCCATAGACCTCATTTTCTCTCACCATAACTATTTTATCTCATTTCCCCTTTATTTATTACTCTATTCTAGAGAAATTACATGTGCAGAAAAAAATAAATGATATAAATAGGAGAAAATACATACCACCATCGGCCTGAAGTACTTGAAGAAATATATCAATCTGTTAATCATATAAAGCAGCTATTAATGTCAGATGACTATCATTTAAAGCATAATGCCAGGTTTCAGAATCTTGCCTGAGAACGCGGCATCAAATGTGTTAATATACTTGCTTCCATCGTCTGCCTAATAACTAAAGATATTTCTGTGGATCTCCTATAATACACATCAAAGTTATTTTTAACAATGTTGCTGACAAAACTATGTTATGACAAACTGTGAAAATTATTTAAGCAAGCTTCACCTGTCACCCTTGGATTTCCTGGCACGATCACCTGTGCTGAAGTTAGCCATGCTATACTCACAACGCACCTGTAAGAACATTCAAAACCTTATACATATTTAACGAATTCCAATGCCAAAACCAATTAATGCAGACTACAGAGTTAAGAGGTAGTTTGCTAGCAAAATTTAGCCAGGATTTGGGCTAAATTCTTTCAAAAAAGTTTTTGAACCACATAATCACCCCACCTATTTGAATCTGTTTTGCCTCCTGCTTTAGGCTAAATCCCAGATTTAGGAAATATTTACAAGACTCTCCTTCATCAAAATTCTAAATCTTAAGAACATCCATCAAACAGTTTAGTAAGAGTTAACTAGATTTAACATTTACTTCTCTAAACAGTTTTAAGGATTTCACGCCTCCAGGATTTACTAAATCCCACTTGTTACTAAGCAATCCCTAGGTCTACCGAATATGAAGAAACTGTACCAATGCCTGACCGTCCATTTGTTGGCCCTTATTCTGCACCTGAGACATGTCAATACAAGCATTTTATCAGCCCAAACAATTCAAAATATAATGCCCCAACAAAATCAACAGATACCATAGAAGAAATGATCAATAACGTCGGTTTCAGGCGAAATCAGCCACCAAACTAAATTTATAATTTGGAAACAAGGAAGAAAATTTAAGCAATCAGCGAATCATGGAGAACAGAGAAAAGATAAGACCTCTCTAGGTCCATACACAGCAGCGATGACCTTTGTATTTCCCATTTCAAAGAGAGCGGAGCTGCATTTAACAATGACTAAAGATGAGAACTGAACACAACAAAATGCATGTTTCGAACCTCCAATGATTCAAGAAACCAGTAAACCCAAGGGAAAGCGCTCAAGAATGCAAAAAGGAAGAAGAAGTTACCCATCAGCCTTGGCAACAACACCGATTTCCCCGCGGATTTGCCGCATCTGGAAATCAAATTATTAGTATTTGCGATTACGATCGTAGTTTTGAATTTGTAAAAAGTGTACGGCTGTATGAGAGAGAAGCAGTAGCAAAAGGTTACTTCGTTGGGGCGTCGGCCATCTAAGCGAAATCCGGTGAGAGGATTCACGTACTCCATGGCCGGAACCCTAGAGAGTGAGAGAGGAGAGGCTTAAACCCTGAGAAGCTTTTAAGTACTCATTTGAAAGATAAATCAATAAAATATTTTTAAATGAAAATTTTATGTTATATGCTAGATAGATTATTGTGTACGGACACGGAATGTGTCTAGAGATTAATAAAAAAGTGCCACATGAGTAGGTGCTCAGTACTGCACTCGGTAACGTGCTCGATACATTGGGTACTGCTTGGTACGTTGTCCGGACAGAATAATTTTTCCACATCACGAAGGTCAAAATTTAAAATTTAAAGTAAGTAATAATAAAATTTTAATTATGTAATTAAGTATAAAAATTTTAAAATATAAAGTTATCTATTAAATATGCAACTTGCTGCCAACTCAAATATGTTGACTTAGCTATCACTGTAGCAAGAATAAATATTTTTTTAATTAAACTATTTTAAAAATCTAAAAGAAATTATTAAAATTTAATTTTACCTAAATCTTAATATTTATAATTTCAAAGGTGGTGATTTATCTAGGATATCAATGCCTAGGTTTTGGGTGCCTATGATGTACCTAAGAATTATTTTCATGTAGTCATGCGATATTCTTTTAGATTAATTTGAAATCTAGCACATAGACATACACTAAACATAATATCAAGTTTGCTAGCTGTTAAATATAGTAATAATCATATGATCCCTCTATACCTCTTCTGATCAATTGATTTTTCATCTACATCTTTATTAAGCTGGATGGTTGAACTCATTGGAGTATTTATACTTTTAGAACCTACCAACTCATAGGATAATCTTTAGTCTCCTATTCTAATAGAAAATAGAACTCAGTAGTCATATCCACTACTAAAGTAGAATATATAGCCTTTGGAAGTTATGTGGCATAGTTCTTTGGTTAAAATAATAAATATTAAATTTAGGACTACCTGTAGGCCCCGTTCAATCTTGTGTGATAAAACTAATACTATATAAATTTTAAAGAATCTAATACAATACTCCATGATCAAACATATAGACATAAGACACCATTTCACTAGGGACCATGTCACCAAAGGAGAAATAGTGCTACATCATGTAGCCATTGAAAATCAACTTGCAGATATCTTTACAAAATTATGTACTTTTGAGACATTCAATATCTTAAGAACTAGATTATATGCCATAAATATTCAAGCCTAAAATTATATGCTTTAAATGTTTGAAATCTAAATATTATGTTTTTGTTTTCTATTCTATCTTTCAGTGTTGTATGTTTTTTTTTCTGCTTTTATGCATATGTTTGTTTATTCTTTTTGTATTATTCTTTAAAAAAAATTAAAATTTAAGAATCTGATCACTACTCACTTCAATAGTAAACTTTTTTCTTTAAATGAAAATCTTAACATATTTTTTTATAATATTATGTACGTAGTGATTGACTCCTCTAAAATAGTAAATGAAAAAAAATGGTGATTATATTTTTTCCACTAACTCCTTTAGTGGCATAATTTCTTTTTAAATCAAAATCTATTTCAAATTAAAAATTGGACCTAAAAGTTAAGATCTGCTTTAGCTTCATACAGTCCTCTATCTTATATGAATATTTTTTTCAAGTCAATGAATCTAGTTCAAATTTTCATAATCAAGTTATTTATCTCAATCATATGGATCGGGTTTTACTTTGTGGTTTACTCTTCCTTATATAAAAGAGTGAGTTTTTCTTCTCTTATATTTAAAAGATAATATTACAACTGAGAAGACTCTTTTTTTAAAGATTTAGAAAGGAAGTAAGTTTACAAAAATGAAAAGAGGCATAAAATGAGCCCAAAACTGAAAAGATGTACAAACTCTGCCAAATAATTGCAAGATGCACAAAGTATATTAAAAATAAAAAAATGCATAATGTGTGCCAAAAGTTGATAAAGAGGCGCAAAATCAATTCACAATGAGTTAACTTCCCTTTCTTTCAAATATTTAAATCTTAAAAAAATTCATGTGTCAATTGATATCTTTTACACTTGAATTTAAAAATCATGATTCTTAATTCATCACTTTGCAATGCTATTCTATTCAATATATTTTTAAAAAGATTTTTGAAAAGATCACGTTTCATTTTGAAAAGAACACATTTCATCTCTAATTTATTTTTTGAATTAGTTTTCTTGTTTAAAATGATTTTAACCTATAAGGAGCTTAAGCTATGGATAACAAAATTTAAATCTCTAGCCTTTTTGGGTTTAAGCATTGTCAATGCATTTTTTTCTTGAGTTTTTAATCTAATCATGAGGTAAAATTATCATTTGTTAAAATTAATTGACAATATAAAAAAATAATTTGGTGTTTGGTGTGTATTTTCTCTTTTTGCTTGATTGTTTGATTTTTGTTGTAAATTTTTTTTATTGTGATTTGATATATTTTCCTTCATGGAGCTTTCCTGGTCTATTTTTTTTCTACCTCACCCTGCCAGTGCTTTCAACCACACCTCCTCCACCTCCACCTGATCAAGATCTCTCCTTATTTTATTTTATTTTATTTTATGATCGTTGTTTACTCTTGTACTTTTTGTTGTTTATAGTTTCCTATTTTTATTATTGTTTCCCCCTTTTTTTTATGTCAAAAGGGGGAGTAGCATGTTTTTGGTAGATTTTATTTTATTATGAAATGTTTAATTATATGTTTGTCTCTTAATATTTTATGCTCTTTTGTTATGTGTTATTTTTTCATTTTAAAATAAACCAACACCTCCCCTATTTTTGAAAGAATTTACTTTGTGAAGGGGAGCTTAGGAATAGAAGAACACTTTTCAAACATAAACCAACAATGTTTTCCATTATAAAAAAAGAGGAAGATTGTTTCAAATATGGACTCAAGTTTTATGATTTGATGATAACAAATATTATTGGATTTCTTATTATACTATCTCTTTATAATTGAGTTTATTTCATATCTATTTTATCCTACTCACTAACATTTCAGGTCCACTATTCACTTGCAACTTCTATCAGCTCAAGTTTGGATAGACTAGGATTAAAGTCTGTATTTTTCAGTCTTTATGTACCTTTTATCTTTCTTGAGTCATCATGTATTTTAGTGGATCCTAAAACTGAGTAACATTGCACAAACACACTCAAGGGGGTGAGTTAAGAAGAATATGAGTTTTTTGAACTAATTGTATTATATAATTTACATCATATTGGATGATCAGTTAAACATAAAAATCATTAGCTGGAGAACTTTTGTTAATTAAGATTGATTAAACTAATCATACTGAATGATCCTTATTGTATATGATGATGATCAGTTATAATCATGAAAATAGTTGCTAATTATAATTTAGACAATATTTTAAAATTCAAATTTTGTTCTAATCGTACTGTATAATATTCATCGTACTGTATAATATATAACAATCATGCCTAAATTGATCCTATTATTAGGGGAACAATTATGATTAACTTAATTGATCAAATCATACAAGATGATTGGTGATGATTCTACTGTACAACCAGAGCAATTCATAGGACCATAATTTATCTTCGCCTACCATACAAGACAAAATACCATAGTTTTTCAACTGATCATACATGATGACCCCCCAATTTCATAATGTATGACCCGAGCGATTCAAGACACTCTTCCTTCTTCTAGAAGGAGAAAAAAACTTTGAGGTATGCTGCCATCACCTGAAGGGTGTGAAAAGCATTTAGTTCTCCGCAACACCGGGTTGGTGAAAGTGATTTATAAGGGCTTCTCCACCTTAATATGGGGGTAAAAGGAGAGACCCTTATTTTGGTGCAATACTTGGAATGGAGGTTTTTGAGGACTGGATGTAGGTCATATTAGACCGAGCCACTATAAATTCTGGTGTGTTTATTCTTATTATTTTTTCACTTTATTTTCTATAAATAACTGTGTGGTTGAAAACACTAATCTTTTTTTTATTATAAAATTAATTTTCTTTTGTATTAATTGATAAAATTGTCTATTTTTAGATATTAAAATAGTTATAAAAAGATTTTTTTTAAGAAATTTTTAATTTACCAATTCACCCCTTCCCGCATCTTGGTTAGCCTCGAGTTAGTTCTTTGAGGTTTAACAACCTTTACGAACTTTCTTTATTGTATATAAATTTTGATGAAAGTATATATATATATATATATATATATATATATTATTTTATTAGTTAGATTTTTGTAGCTCTGGTTCTCTTGGATTAATGGTTTAGTTATTTAAGTATATGTTTAGGGTTTCAATCGTTCTATTAGGTCCTAGGATTTCACATTTATCTCTCATTTTCTCTTCTCCCTCCCCTCATCTTCTTCTCTGGTAAGTGAGGGCTAAGGTGAGGGTTAGATATTTAGTACATGAACCTCATTTTGCATCTAGCGTTGCAGTACTCACCTCTCTAGTGTTATTCGACTCACCCATAATATTTTAGATTATCCCAGATTCCTCTTACCTAAGAATTGAGAAACACGATAGTGCCATATAGTACCACAGCTCTCCCCTAAATCCATTTTTAAATAAAGATAATAAAGTCACAATGCCAACTCTCCCAACCCCACAATGCTCAAAGGGCCATTTTCACTCCATATTGTTTTCTCTACCCCTTCATCAATTCTAATTCTTTTTAAGCTAATTTAAACACTACATGACTTAAAATACATAATTAGATCAAGATTAAGTGAACATTCATGCAAAATTAAGTTAGTTACCTGAGTCTCGAAATAGTAGATGTTACATATATAATAGAGGTTGGACAATGAAGGTTAAATGGTACTAGTCGAATAATGATGGTTTAATGACAATGGTAAAATGACATTAGTTGGATGGTGGTAGCTGGAATATGATGATCTGAAGGCAATAGTCTAACTTGGGTGGTCTGATAGAGCTTTAGGATTCCTCAATCCTTTGAGCTCTCTTAAATCTTAAGTCATGATCCCCTGCATACAGAGAGTGTGGGTCAATTTTTAATTTTTATAGTGGTATATATTCCAAAAATATAGTAAATATTTGGAACACTCTATCAAGAATTTTCTATTAGTTCTCTTAATTATATACACTTCATT